TTGTTTTTTCTTTTGCCAGTTAATTTCTAAAAATTTTGCTGTGGAGACCGGCTTTTGAGGACAAGCTTTTTTTTTTTATAAAACTAAGTCTACACTTTCCGGAATACTTGAAGACCTGCTACTATCTAGTGCGTGATTGGTTCTCACCTAGAGCTGCTAGGTTCCTCGGTTTAACCTAACACCTGCAAAATGCCTTCTCCCCTACCCATACAAGCACCTGGAACGTGAACTTTCTCATCCATTCGTAAATGCCGAAATTTATAAATGATTGATAATTACTCGCAAACTGGTATCGATGCAGTGCCTTAATATTATAAGGAACGACCTGATAGAATGTAAAACTGAAAGAATATAGGAAAATTAATGTTAAATTTGAAAAGCCGTAAATCCCGAAAAGGTGAAAAATCACTGTAATTGATGCTAATAAATGCAACTAGAATTGTCAGGTGAAAATTTTAACATATCATTTTGCGTATAGTGAAAGCACTTTCCTTTCGTCCATTTTCCTTATAGTTTTTTTCTGGTGTTAGATTACAGTTATTTTCAGATCGTCTTTGGAATAATAGGAAATACTCCAAGATTTTTAGTGTTTTCAGGCAATTGGTCAGAAACTCAGGTCGTGCTCGACACGTTCATCAGCATCTTCCAATTAAGATATTTCTCAAAAACATTTGCTGGAAAAGTCAGTTTTTTCCAATATTCTTTCTAATACAGATGGCTGTTTGGACCATATTTATAGACTCACACAAGGATGAAAACTCGTTGACGAGAAACGTGAATGGCCACAACAAAAGTCAGCAACTAATTTGTCCAAGATCATTTAGAAAGCTTTCTAATAGTAAGTCACGTCTTATAAAAACGCTTAAATTAGATATTTATAGAACGAATGTCTGCGTACTTTAACTTCCTTCAAGCTTGCGTCACAGAACAAATGGGAAACTTAAGCCGGATTTTTGACTTTCCTGATTCAATTTCTGAACAAGACACACATCACGAGATTAGCAGGATTTATTGACGTCACAAAATTTCGTGATTGTAGACGGTCCTGCTAATCTCGTTATCTTTGCCTTGTTCAAATTTCTTCCAGGAAAACAATGTTTCAAGATACAATTTCTGCTAAAAATAAGGGACTTCACTCTTATATTGAAGCTTTCTTCGCTATATTGATGCACTGTTAGGCTCCGTTCAAAAGTTGCAAATGCACTTCAGCGTGACGGAATATATAACTAGATCTTGCGAAAATTTCTAGTCTTTTATCCGTTCCGTTGCTTGTTTACACATTATCGGAAATTAAGTGTATGTTGCCATATGCTTCAACGTTTTTTGTTATAGCGTCGATTTCCACAAAAACAAACGCGAATTTTGTTTACGGTCCCAAATCTTGGCGTGGTTAAACAAAATACGGATAAACAAACTTATTCCTGTGTTTTGTGACGAAAAACTTCAGAAATTAGCATAAAACATTTTTACAGTTAAATTCTATCCTTATTTTCTGACAAACAACGTGACTCCTCACATTTACCTGATTTTCATTGACTTAAGATAATTTTTTCGCTGCCAAAAGGTAAATTATCCGAGGCCTTTATAGCACAACACAAAAATGCAGTAGATTTTTTGTGGCATTAAATGGCATAGTGAATATTTTGGATATCAGACAACCTGCGATATCTTTCGAATCCTGCCTGGATTTCTTCAATATACAAGATTTAACATGCAGTGCGCTTTAATAAAAGGGTCCGCCTAAGCCTCAACTCTCACCATCCAGTCAAAATAACGAGGCCAAGTATACGCTAACCTCATGACACTGCATGAGTTAGGTCATCTACTGAAGTGTATCCCTCTCGTGGGTATTTGGTATACTAATTTCTGGCCGGTTTGTCCTAAAACATAGGTCGATCATTTCTCATGTACCTCTGTGGTGATGGCTCTATCATAACGGCGTCACGCAAAGCTGCTTAAACTCCGTTGGCCTACATAGGCTTGGAAGTTCTTGAGATGTTTACAACTG